AAAAAATTTACAAATACAGTGGCAAGTAGAAAAGATTGATTTGTTCCATAACATGATAAATTAATTTTTTTTTTTTTGCTTCACGAGCAACAGTAAGGTGAATTAGCTGCTTTTTAGAGGTATATTTTGTTGGTTCAAAAATATTAAGAGATAAAGAAATTAAGATAACAAAAGGTATTAGGGATTGTAACTTGGTTTATAAAATACAATTTTCTCTCTCTTTTTTTTCCCCCTCGTTCTATATAACCTTCTCTGCATTTTCTTTATCTCCCCAATATTAAGAAGTTTTACATTAGAAATATAAGTTTTCCATAGGGAGGTTAATAAAGTAATGGCTTTTTGTTTTGGTAAAATTTTTTACCTGCAGAATGAATTAATTTCAATAACGAGTTTAATTGTAATTGTTACCTGGCGAAGAAGGTAAGCCACGAATTTTTGCATAATTCAATATAAAGTAATTGCTTTCAAAACTACATGGCATTGTTTAGTTTCCTTCCTTTCAGATTATGTGTTTTAATTTGATATCATTTTCAAAAATGACTTTTCAAATTTTTTATAAATACAAAAAAAGAAAGCCTTTTGATACCATCAAAATTATGAATATTCTTCCTTTGAGTGTTCTTAGCTTTTACATCAGCTATTCGACCACCTGCCATAAAAATTAATTTTTATTAGGGCTAGTAAATGCTTCATATCATCTTGATGGTCTATATATGTTGTATTATTTAAATGTAAAAAGTGTCGTTTTTTGCTTCTAATGGATTTATTATAATGTATTACTTCAAAAAACTCAAAGTTGTTCTTTATGATAATGAGAGTGACAATGATAACAATGATAATGAAAGTGATAACGAATCAAAAATTGGGAGACATGTCAAAAGTTCAGGGATTCTTTAGCTGATGTTGGAGGTCTTCCTCGGCTGTTTGAAAAATTTCTTATGGATTGTCCTTTTCTTCTATGACATCCTTTAGCAAACAAAAAAAAAAATAAAGCTACAGTTCACTCTCTCTATAATGAACACTAAGTAAAATCTCTATAATGAACTTCCCTTTTAATTAATTTCTCTCTCTATAATGAACATCTTAGTAAACGCACTTTATAATGAACTGTGTATTTTCTCATGTTCCTTATTTATAAATAAATTATGATGTTAGTTAATTATATTACAAAATAATGTATTAATAATTATATTAATTATTTCAAAATACCAAGTAAAATTACAGGAAGCTCCCATGTTTTTGTTTAAAATAAAAGAAAATTTGATATAGCTTCCATAAAGAATAGGTATATAGAACAAATATTGTATGTAGAGTAGGTGGAGATATATTGCTATCTTGTTATTGACTTCTACTACCATCCCTCAACTCATCTATATAGTTGTTTTCAAAAAATTATATTTTTTAAATGTTTTTAATGATCCAAATTACATGAGTAAAACTAATATCACTCACACGTATCTTGATCATTAGCAAAGCATTAAAAACAGCAATTTTCTTTTGGTATTTAATAATGTGGTTATTATTCACTTAAAATTTATTATTTCTATTTATTTTAATATTAAATAGAAAATTTACTATCCTCGCCGATCATTATATAAAATCACATGACTACACTCTACCCTTAAGGATTCAAGATTTGTTTTTTTATATCAAACTTATTGATCGCTTAAAACATGTAATACACATGCACTTTTATAGCAAATTGTTACTATTAATAAATCATCATGTGTCGGATTTTGATGATGTTTCCCGACAAATTAAAGTGCAGTATTTAATAAAATAAATACAGCTTTCATTGTTTTCCATATTGGAAAATGATAATTGATTAAATTCGCACACCCATTCCATTCATTGGTTTACTAATTTTATCTTTTTATGTATGTTTATTGTTGATCCGTTGTGACTCACTCTCACTCGAGAAATGGTGTAACCATTTTTTTCTTTGTCTTGTATTGTATATATGAAATTAGTAAATATTTGTTACCGAATTATTCGAACTACCGATTTTCTGGACCAAAATAAAAACAAATCTTAATGCAAAATAATGTTGTTGATTTTTTGTGACTTGGCAATATATTGTCTTTATAAACTTATTATACCTGTTCCAATTCATCATCTAATACTAATGTCTTTTATGCTCTTATAATAAATATACTTGTATATTCACAACTAGAAAAGTTTTTGGCAAAAAATTTTATTATTTAATCATACTGAAAAAATATAATAAACCAAAAAAAAAAAATAATAATCATTTTAATCAGTAATGGTCACAGCTGGATTAAGAATACTCCTGTCTATGTGAACTATGCTGCTTGATTGCATAAGTAGCTTCCAATCCTATTAACCATTTCTGATAAACCTCTTTGACGTCTGCGAATTTGTTTAATTGAAACAAAATTATTCAAAGCATTTCGGGATAGTTTTAATTTTTTTTTTTTTTTTTTTTTTTTGCTTCACGAGCAACAGTAAGGTGAATTAGCTGCTTTTTAGAGGTATATTTTGTTGGTTCAAAAATATTAAGAGATAAAGAAATTAAGATAACAAAAGGTATTAGGGATTGTAACTTGGTTTATAAAATACAATTTTCTCTCTCTTTTTTTTCCCCCTCGTTCTATATAACCTTCTCTGCATTTTCTTTATCTCCCCAATATTAAGAAGTTTTACATTAGAAATATAAGTTTTCCATAGGGAGGTTAATAAAGTAATGGCTTTTTGTTTTGGTAAAATTTTTTACCTGCAGAATGAATTAATTTCAATAACGAGTTTAATTGTAATTGTTACCTGGCGAAGAAGGTAAGCCACGAATTTTTGCATAATTCAATATAAAGTAATTGCTTTCAAAACTACATGGCATTGTTTAGTTTCCTTCCTTTCAGATTATGTGTTTTAATTTGATATCATTTTCAAAAATGACTTTTCAAATTTTTTATAAATACAAAAAAAGAAAGCCTTTTGATACCATCAAAATTATGAATATTCTTCCTTTGAGTGTTCTTAGCTTTTACATCAGCTATTCGACCACCTGCCATAAAAATTAATTTTTATTAGGGCTGATTGACTTCTTGACTACTCAACAACAACAACAACAAAAAACTACGTTGGATTGGATACATCCACCCACACAACGCCAAACTAAAAATGAATAGCTGAAAAGATGAAAATTTTCAATAATGAATGTTCTTCGCCTTCCTTGATGGATGTATATAATAGTGAAAAAAAAGTGGGTGAATATAATAAATGATTTATGTATGATAATATGCTGCGGGTGTTGCAATTTGGCCACCTGTTTGAAAAGTCAAAAGAACTCGTAATGGCTACTCAAAATCTGCACAAGAT